GGTTCGATTCCGATTACGGATGCTATCGTTCCATTCTCGCAGGAGTAAACCTCTCCGAAAATTCCAGCGTGATATCAGCCCATTTGTACTTCTATCGCCAAAGAATTACCTGGCATATTTGCCTACTGTGAAAAGCAGCGGAACGACTTTATCTAGTAATGGTGCGAGTTTTTTAAAAAAAAACCGCCTTCTTCTTGCTTGGTCCTTTACCGATAGCATAAATTCATTATTTAATTCAGTTATAAATTGATAATTTTAAAATCAACCATTTTATACATTTCTCTACCCTTTGGAAATTTGGCGTTTTTGGTCCGAAATTTTCCATTTACAAGTTCCTTCCTGAATGTGTTTATCGCATCAACAGCCTTGTCACGATCGAAATCAAGTTTCCGTTCTCCAACGCACGGTGTACGTGTCGCTGAAACAAATTATATGTTAAAAAATCTTCAGCTGAATAAGGAATTAAAAGAAAAAAGTGATAATAGAATAAATTACTTCACGTTCATTTACGATCTTGATAAAATATACGATAAAAAAACACTATAAAATAAAACGAATTATTTTTCAGTGAAGAATTTACTTGATGGTGGTCGATGAGCCAAACCTGAAATTTATTTTCATTAGTAAAATTTCTCATGCAATAAACTATTCTAAACGAGTAGTTTTATTGTTTTATTAGTTTGATAATCTCCTGATTTTTGAAAATTTTTATTATAATGCTTTTTTCTAAAAATTATTTTGAAATTTTTCACTCCATTTTGTTACGCAGTAGGGTAAAAAAAAAGCATTCTGCATAGTGCCACTGTCAAAAAAATGGCCCAGCAATTAATAATTTTTCGGTTTCATATTATGCATTAAAGCTATGTTAATTTTAACCATTCACAAGTTCCTTCCTGAATGTGTTTATCGCATCAAAAGCCTTTTTAAGATCGAAAATATGTTTCTTCTCTTTTGCTGAAACTTGTTATATGCTAAAGAATTTCTACAAAATAGTGAATAAAGAATATATAAAGAATATAAACTAACTCAATTCAACTCAATTTTTGATAAAAGAAAAATATTTTAATGAAATCGAAAATTTTTATGGAAAAATTTTAATGCTGGAAAAGATCAATAATTTAGAATGAATTGAAATTCATGAAATTCGATTAAACTGAATGTATGCATTTTATTTTAATAGTTGAGTAGTTTATAAAAAAAAAAAAATTTCTCAATTATTCTTTTCTTTTCAATATTACAAAATGAATTACCAACCTCCATTGAGTCGTTTTCCTTTGACGTATAATTTCTTTCCTTTTACGCATAATTTCTTGAACGATTCGCCACTGAAAAATTAGTTATAAAATTTTTATGAAATTTCGAAGAAGCAAGTTCATAAAAATAATAAGAACGATAAATATGAAAATATAAAAAATCTAAAAAATTTAATGTAAGAAATTAGTACTTCGGCCAAAATTTGCAAATAGTGCGCTGAACTTTTTCTTCTCTTACTGCGTTGTCATCCTTATAGTCACGCGTAAATATGCACGAAGGACAACTAATATCTGTGGTTAATCGAGATGCGATCTAAAATACCGCGGTGCTAAAAATCGCAATATGATAAATATGATAAATTTATATCTATCCAAAAGAGGAGTTTGTTTAAGAACCAAACCTGTATAAATTCATCATATATATCGAGAAATTCGCAGGTTGACACACTATCACTCTCGAAACAGTTTTCCACTCTTTTTACCCATTCTTTTAATGCTTCATGTATCGGCTCATCTAAGAATATCAATGAAGTCATCGACATTTAACTTTTCTTCATTTTATTTCTAATGCCCTTTAAGGATTCTCTGAGCAGATTCCATTCCATTCGTTCCAATTCCTTCATTTCTTTTCACCAATAATATGTGAATAAGTGCTTCATTATATTAATTACACTATTTCTGGTTTTTTTAATTTTTAATTATTTCTTAATTTTAATTATATTACTTTAGTTGTTTTTTGGCACTTTACCATTTTGCAGAATAAGGACTCTTGTCGATTTAGCTTTAATCACTTTTTTAATGCATTTAAATTTTTTCTTTGATGGCCTCATCGAGCCACTAACCAAACACTCAATAATTTTTTGATCTCATTTCTATAGCGGGGCTACACAAGGATTTTCTGCAGTATTCCTATTCAGTTCTTACTAAATTAGTTTCAGTTTCCAGTAATTAATGAAGAATTAAATGATGGAAGTATGAAATTGCAAAATTAGATTTAAAATTTAGTAATTTAGAAATTTAGAAATTTGATGATAAAAATACTCCATCAATATTTTTCTTTCTTTTTATGGAAGGGAACGAACCAATAAGAAAAAATCTAAAATAAAAGAGATTTGTAGAGTTTGAAGAAAAATCATTTTTATAAATTTGATTAAAAATAAATTATATTTTTGAAAAATAGTACAAGCCAATTTTTTTTTGAAAAAAAAGAAATTATGTTCAAAACAAAAATGAACAATGGCTTTATTTTGAAATTTTTTAAGAGAAATTGATAATTTTCATATAAGTTTAAAAAAAAAAAAACGCATGAAAGCAATTACCTGATGAGAAAAAAATAATTGTGCCTGAAATTCATTCCAGATTTTATTTTTAAAAGTATTTTTCAATCACCTATAGTGGAACCAACTATTTCCAATAAGAGGAGACAATTACTTTGTTACTATTTCAGTTTAATATTGCTTATTTTATATTGCTTTAAAAGATCAAATGTGGTATGAGTCATACGCTTGAAAACAACGCCATAAAATGAAAATAAAGTCGCTACTAAATCGAGTTCTTTTCTCCTTGCTACGACTACCAATAGCATTGGTTATATTAATTTCACAAGTTGCAAGGATGAGGTATTTCTAAATCACTCGATTCGATTTTATTTTCTAACATAGAAACAAATAACTTACTTTTCAAGAGGAGTAGCAAAATTGAAGCGTAACGTCGCATTATTATTTGCACTGCCTGCACCTATGATAATTTGATTAATTTATGAATGATTTCTAACGACACTTTTTAAAAGCTATTACGTGAATTCTCATATTTTTTAGATGTTTTTTAGATGTTTTTTTAGTACTATTTGGTGGTATTTTATTTTTTAGGAATTCTATGAAAATAAATAATTCATTGCGTGCAGAAATACAAGAAATATTCAAAAAATTGTTGAAATGATAGAATCTCAAAAGATTTTTCTGAAAAAAAATAAAAAATAAGAAAAGTAAGTAAGAAAGTAAGTAATAAAAAGTAAGAAACGATAAAAGAAAAATTTGAATAAGAAATAAAAAAGAAAAATGTAGAAATTAGAAAAATGAAAATTGGAAAAGTGGCTATTTCGCGTTATTTGAATAAAATTTCATTTCTTGAGCGGTCTATTTTCTTTTTCACTCCTCTGCTATTCTCTTAAACTTCGTTTCTTTAAAATTCGCTAAAAACAATTAAAATCGATTTTTTTTTAAATATTAAAACAAAGATTTAAGAATAAAAAATAAATTATATGTAAAAAAATGTATATTTAAAGAAATATGTATATGTATATAGTTTTATATTTAATAATTTCTTTTTTTTGTTTTCTAATTTTGTCTTTTTTCAACTATTCTTAATTGTCTTTTTTTTCCTTTTTTTGTTTTTGTCTTTGAGAGGAATAAACCTGTCATGATAAGAAAAAAACGGGCACTTTCATCTTTTCGTCTACAGCATGATTTGGCACATATTTCGATATTTCCTAAGCCCAGCGATGGGTGGTGTCAAAAGCGAAGCGCACCAATCAAGATCTGGACTGATACGGTCAAAAAAAATTTTGAACATATAGAATGACCAGCAATATATGGACTTATACGATGGAAAAATGAATGGCTTTTATTATTGTCGACGATGACATCAGATCAGTGGATTCAGTTTTTTATCCTTATAGCCAGTAGAGCAATCCTAACTAATAATAGCTAGAAAAATAGCTAGAAAAAAAGAAGAATCATCGTGAAACCGCGAAAGATGAGTTTTTTCCTCAATCAATGGATCCATGTGAAATGAGAGGATATTCGGAAAATTCTTAAAATTTACCATTATTCTTCTCATTCTGGAGGTCATGACGAGCATACATACATACATACATATATATATTCATAGAAACAAAGAGACAAAGCTTTCTTCGAGCTGTTTAAAGAAAGGATTGTGTGCGATGCTGCTAAGCCTGTCGAATTTGCCATGTTCAAATACAACCTGATATTGCGGTCACCATCGAATATTTATTATAGCCTTTTCATATTCCACATTTAAGTATTAGTGAACTATTAAGAAAAAGTTAACAAATCAAAATTATTCGTTAATTTTTTGCTCTTGTGGATAGAGCCACAGGCTACCAAATTACTGTCGTCAGTTTTCTGGACAATGAGTCATACTCTGAAGATGTATAAGAGTAAGCGATAACGCCACTTATTCCAAATAAGCATTTTGCAAAAGGACCAGAAAGCCAATGCACAAATCAGTCCAGAGTGTCGTATCACATATCTTGAATACTCTGGTGATATACTCTGGTATAATCTTTTTTATTGATTAGTCTTTTTTATCTATTTTTTTTTTATTGACGGTTTTGATAAAATACAAATCATGCTAAACCACGAGAATCAGGGTAAATTTAAATAAGACTAAAAACCTTTTCTTAAAACTGATGAATTTTCCTCTTGAAATTGATAAAATTCCTCTTTCTAAAAATTCATCGACGATTTGGAAAGTGTCCGATTTTAAATACCTTGGATCCACTCTAAGATGGCCAGACAAAAGACGGTATTACAACCAGGATTACGACAACTAGAAATGCGTTCTGGTTGACGAAACCTTTATGGAACCGTCATGAAACCACCTAAAAAATAAAAATCATCTATACAACCTTGATTTGTTTGCTTTATGGCTTTGATATATGGCTAATGAGAGTGGAGGATATTAGGAAGTTATCTGCCTTGACCACTCTTATCTAAGATACATTTTATAATGAGTGGACGTAATCGATCTCATTCATCCTCGCTCCAATACCGAATGCCATAACCATAACAGAATATCGCCTTCGCCGGTTAAGGTACGTTCTTCGTCATTCTCCACAACAGTCGATATATTTCGTTACTTGCTAAACCCTTCGATGAATTATATCAAAATCTATCAAGGTGAATCTATCAAGGCCTGGATTGAAAGGTTTTATTATAAATTAGAATGTATAGATGGACCAGTAATATATATACCTAGGCGATGGAAAAAAGAATGACTTCTATTACTGTCGACGATGCCATCAGATCATGGAGCTTGGAAAAGTTTTTTAGCCTGTGGAACCAATCTAACCAATCATCATGAGAATTGTTACAACAAGAAGAAGAATCTGTTAATTATGGAAAGAATGCAAAGGAAATTTAGAAAATGCAATGAAAGCAAATTATTTTACCATTATTATCATGGCATTTATAAATATCCAATTTATTCCATATTTGATTTTTTTTCCATAGAATTTTCATTTTTCGAAATTAAAAACTATGATAGCGATCTCCATATATTTCGCAAAGCAAAACCGAATTGATAAATTTTTCATTATTAGAAAAATTAATAGATTATTCGCTCAAATAGCAAATTATAAATCTGCTCGATTTTCTGCATTCAACATTTTCCATCAATATCTGTAAACATTTATCAAAAATGTCAAATATTTGCGCCTATGATGAATTCTGATGGAAAATTACGAAGACTATGATAAACATATAGCAATTGTTTTTGCAATACACTCTGCCAAAATTTTAAAAAATATCGAAACATCGAATAGAAAAGTGCAAACTGTAAAAAACTGTAAAAAAATGAATCCACTTTGACTAGATCGCCTTTTATTGTTTAGGCTCAATATTAGGCACAAATACAATAGTCACTTTTCTAAAATTTATATTTCTATTAAATTTGTCTAAATTCCGAAAGTGAACTTTTATTCAATAAGATCAGCAAATTCAATTTTGTGAGCTTTGATGACTTTCTTTTTAATAAGTGATTCTAAAAAAAATCACCCCATAATGGTACTCACTATTTTTCGCTGTTATTATTGGTTTAATTTTCTTATCAGATAGAAGTCGGAGAATACAAATTAGCAGCAAGGCACCGCCAGAAATCATTATACATTTTATCTGATTATTTACAGTAATATGACATAATAGTGGAATGAGAATCGATCGAATAAAGAATTATTTCAAATGATAAGCATTTTTTTGCTAATTATTATTTATTATTATTTGTGTTGTTTTTTATTATTTTTTATTTCATATTTCATAACTCGCTGGAAATTTTTCATTTGCAAAAAAAAATATTCTGAAAAAATTGGCTGCTGATTTTTTGTTGTAGAAATACAGAATTAATTCAAAAATATCATCCAAAAGTTTTTTTCAATTTTTTCATTTTTTTTGGTTTATTTCAGATGAATAAGCACAAAAGCCATCTTACAAATTACAAATATAAATGCCATCATTAATATTTTTTACAAAGTTTTCTATTTCTTCAATTTATTTTTATTTTATTACTGAGTTTCAAATAGAAAAATTATTTTCTCCATCGCTAATCATTCTTGAGGTCATCTCATAATTTTTATATTAACTCGTTCCTTTATCAGACATATCCCATATTATCACTTAATTTGAACTTGAATTATCACTCAATTTCGCGATTTTTTCGAATTGAAGCAAGTTAAATTTTAATGGAGAATGGCTCAATGGGTATTTTGAAATGCGATGGCAGGAATCTATTCCAGACATGAATAATCATATCATCCGAAGAACCAGCTGATGCTGGCGACTCATCATAACCGGTCTTGCGGGATAAGAGGTTACGCCACCGGTAATTTTTTAAGGCAATGTATCCGATTGCATCACTCTCTAGACTTTCAAATCCTTCTTGGTATGGAATAATCAGGCGCAATGTTGTAATCATATGATACATTTCGCAAAATTATCTCCACCATAACACACAACCTGGATGAATCATAGAAATTCTCTCTTCTCTAGTTTTTTAATTAATTAAAAATGTTTATATATTAAAAAAACCGCATAGCATTTCGTTTCAGGAATGGTTTGGAAATTCTAAAAAACGAAATTTTCGTCTAAAAACAATTTAGATATTGCATTTCAATGGCAGTTATGGACGATTTCGAGTGAAAAATAGTTACAAGGCAACTGTTCAAAAAGAGACAACGATATTTAAAACTTTTCCATTTGCCAATTGTTTTTTTTTCAAAAATTGTTGACACAAATCGACGAAATCCAATTAAAATCTGGAAAAAAAGAAAAAAAGCGCTGGCAAAATCCAATCTAATATGATATTATTGCAAAGAATTAACATAAAACCGTTAATAAAAAAATTCATCTCATAAAAATAAAAAGCTTTAAACAATTTTTAATTTTTTAGCTATATTATTGTTCGAATTTATTTATTATTTTTTGGTGATAGAGATTGGTAATTAGTTGTTACGCTGTTTTTTTTCCTTATACGATTTTTTCTATATTTGAATAAAGGTTTAATTTACCCAAGTTTGAGGCATGTGGCGACAAACGATAAGATGCGATAATTTTTCAAGGAGAAAGGAAATTAATGAAATCACGCACGAAAATTTATTTTTTACGAAAAAAGTTCATTTTTTTCATAAAAATTCATAAATTCAATTTATAATTTCAGTTCTCTTTTTTCCATTTCTCAGTTCTCAAACAATAAAATATTCGAAGAAAGAATTCTGAGAGAAATTCTCCTATTAAAATTCATTTTAGTTAATAAATGATAAATGATAATGATAAAAAAACTGTCTTTAAAAAGTTTAATTGTTAGTTTCAAATAGCTGTATTTCAATTTATGAAAGAATTTTGAATGAATGAACGTCCTATTAACAGATTTTCTATAAACTGTGCACATTTTAATGAGGTCCCCATTGTTTCTTTTTGCGAAAAATAAAAAGTGGAATTTGATTCTGTTAGAAAATAAATTGGTGATTGAATAATAGTCAAATATTAATAAAATAAAAGAAATGGGAAAAAAGTTAAAAATTGCATAAATAATTGGAAATACGTTCGTTTAGAATTAGTTCCCTTATCCAAATGAAGAAATGTCTCTTTCAAAGGATTTTGCGTTAATTTTTTTAAATTCAACGATTTACCGATGGAAATAAAAGCTTGAATGCTTCAAAAATATTATTGTGAAATTAAAAAAGCATACGCCTGTCAACTTTCATTATAAAGTTCATTATAAAGAAATTAGCCCTAAAATTATTTGGAGCCATAAGCAATTACGTCGAACAATCTAAGCAATCGGAATAGCCTAGTAATTTCTTGTTCGACAGACATCAAAGATGAAAAAATCATTCATGCAATAGTTATATAAAATATTATATCATAATATGGGGTGAAAAGGCTAAACAGTCTATTTCATTTATCATCGATTGAGATTGTGCAGGCAAGCTAATCTACGAAAATCTGGTTGTTATTGGCGATCTCTGTCGCAAAGTAGCACCATAGTGAAATTACAAACATCAAAAAATTCTGCCGAAAATCGCCAAAAATATTTCAACAAATAATAAGATTGCCAAAATCTTCTGCACCAATGCTCGCCAGTCAATTCATATAAGCTAAGGTTACTAATAATAATTATAGTAATATGAGGAAAATTTTCCGAACTTTGGATAGTTGGTTTAAATTTTTTGAGCAATTATTGATGGATTTTTGAATTTATTTATGCATAAAATCATAAAATTCAATTTTATTGAATATACGCAGTTCAATTCTGCATTTTAAATTAATCAAATTTTAGTTAAACCTATTCAGTTCTAACACAAAGTTTATTCTTATTACAAACTGAATTGGGAAGAGCGCATGGCCAACCTAATTCGCATTGCTCTCCTTCTTCGTATAAGATGGGGAACGTTTTTGCACTGAAAAATTCCTTCTTAAAATTTTGTATAAGAAATTTTGAACCAAAAAATCAAAAACAACAAAAAAAAAATAACCAATCGTTAATTTAGCATAAAAGAATTTGCTCACCTCGGCCAGAATTTGCAAACAGTATAATGAATTTTTTCTACATCTCCATCTCCATAATCATATGTGCACTTACTATTTGTTGCACAACCGACGTCTGTTGTTGATCCCGATGCAACCTCAAATATGATAATTCTGATTAGCAGGAACAGTAAAAATTTATATGGATCAGCCGATCTAAAATAAGGAATTAGTTAAAAAATCGAACCTGCACAAAATCGTCCAGCAAGCTTGTATAATCGCTAGTTAATAGAGTAACATTTCGTTTGCCCTTTAATCTTTTCATCCATTCTTTTAGTCCTTCTTTTACCGCATATTCTAAGGTTATAAAAGAAAAATGAAAAATTCCAGTGGGGTCAATTAGCTGTTTTTGCATTTTTATTATTATTTTTATCATTAACTTTAAGAAATCGCTGTGCACAAATCATTGATTTCATTTCTTCTAATTTTTTCTTACTTGGGGGATCATACGGGACATGCTGAGCTTCACCAATTCCTTGCGAATCCGTGTAAGCTGGACTATAATCGCATTCTTGCACTTTCTGTTCAGCCAATGCTTGCAATGTACAATTCCATTTCTAAAAATTCAAAGGAATATGAGAAAACTTTTCGTCTATTTCGCAATAATAATCGTTAATTCCAAGAAATTTTCGATATTTTTTCAATTAAATGGAATCCTTAAAGTAATTTTAAAATTAAATTAACCAATTTGTAAATTTCTTTCCCCATTGGAAATTTTCCATTTTTGGCCGGAATTTTTCCGGCAGCAAGTTGAATTCGGAATTTATTCATAGCATCAAGAGCACTTTTTTTTAATGGAACGTTTTCTCCATCGCATTTTTCGGCTGTAAATAAAACAGATTATATTGCCAAAAAGTTATTCGACATAATTAATGATTTAGAAATAAAAATCACAGTGGAATATGCAAAATCATTTTCATTTCTATTCATAAAAATGATAAATTATTTCTTGAAAAGAAATTATTATTAATAAAAAAAAGTTTTTATAAAAGAATTCATCAACTGGAATCTGAATTAAAGGATTAAAATAAAGTTCATGAAATTCTATTTTTTTTCAAACTTTTTTCGGTTTCGCAGAGTCCATCTTTGTTACAAACTGAATTGCGACGCCTACACGGCCATCCTACTTTACATTGTTTTCCCTTTTTGTATAATTTCTTGAACATAAATCCACTAAAATTTGCAAAATTTATGTAAAATGTATATGTATCTAAGATCAACAGTAAGTGATCAAATTAAAATTATGAAAAATATTCTTAAAAAAAAAACATTACCTTGGCCAAAATTTGCAAACGGTATACTGAACAGTAGGGCGTTCATCCGTTTTATAATCATCATAGTTATCATAGTATGTTCCATAGTCTTGCATCGAACTATAGTCAACTTGACATATATCATTTGTTGCACAACCTACTTGTACAGTTAGCCCTGAGGCTATCTAAAATACCACAGGAACATTGGCGAGATCAGATTATGCCAAAAATCTATCTAAAAAGAACAACTTATTAAAATAATGAACCTGAACGAAGTCATCCAGTGAACCGATTCTGGAAGTTGATACGCTAGTGCTATTATAAAATTGTTCGACTCTTTTTGTCCATTCGCTTATTGCATCTTCTATCGGTTCATCTAAAATTGCAAA